CCCCCAGATGCACCACAGAGCGCCACAGGAAATCATTCCTGCCTGTGGTCATCAATCTCTACAACGCCTCCCTCAGAGAGTCAGACAGGTGGTTCTCTTAGCATGAAGACTTGTTTTCATAAACTTTTGACATCAATGTCCATGTTATGTTAACTGCAATACGGCACAAAATCCATTTATTTTGATTTGTAACAGCAGCACTTCCAAACTTTTCTATGAATGACTTCAGTTTAATGTAGTAAGCCATTGGGATGAAAGAGCACCCAGAGTAACTGCAGCATTTACACAACTATGAGTATAATAGCACCACCTAGTGTGCAATTATCGCCAGTGAACCAAACTATAAGATTTACAGGATGGAGGTTGTGGTCTTGGGGATATTTTAGTCTTAATTTTTGACCTTTGGCCTAAGAAGAAAGTTGGAAATATACAGCAGCGAGGACGTCGTCTGTTGTTTCTGTTTGCCTGCGGAAACTATCCTCAGACACAGTCAGCAGAAGTACTGAGCTCTGCTACATTAAGAGTCTATAACATCTCAGCCCTGATACAAGTCTGCACTGTATTGAGATTATGTGCTAGTGAAGTTGTTTGTATTGAACACTGTAAACATGTCCTTGTAGTTGTTGCATTCTTCCAGAAGACTGCTGAAGTAAAGGGAGCTGAGAGGTTATAGATTAAAAAAAAGGTCTTAATTTAGCCAGAATTCATAGCAATTTGGTCCTATTTAAATTAGTCAGGAAGTACACAGCTTGAACTAAACAAATAAGTATCATTTTCTCAGCCTATAACAGTACAGTGAAGGAGACGTCAATCAACTACCATTAGTACTGAGAAGACATCTGATCAGTCAGTGAATCATCTGAACCATGGGTGTGCTGAGTGCAGGGCCTTTTACAGTATGTAAATGACCAAGGATGAGGATAAGCCCTCTAGGCTTTTGATTATAAGCTGATTGGATTTCCTGAGATCAAACATGTCCTGATGATTCTCCAAGCTGCTAATGAATTATTTTGTTCTTGAAGTTTAAAGACAGCTCAGCTAACAGTGCATGCAATAGATGTTATATATAAAACCCCAATGCAAAACTGTGGCCTCTGGGGCAAAAACATTAGAGTGATCATAACCCCTGACTACTAACAAGACCAGATATTGTCACATGGCCCCAAACTTTGGTCAAACGCAGTACCTCCTCAAGATCTCTCATTTCAGTTTGTGTTTAGTGTTTAAATTAACAATCAGCTTGAGCAAACTGCCACACACAAACCAGCAAAATAAAGTGATAATATATGAAATATGAAACTTTTAATAATATCTTTTAATAATGGCAAGCTAAATATAGATTCCAGAGAAATGTGGCCGTGCAACGAGAGACCCGCACTGCCCCTTTAACCAGTTCTCCTCCCCCGTCTCTCCCACCGTGTCTCTCTCTCTCTTCCCCATTTCGCTGCTTTGTTTTCATTGTCGCTCTTGTGATCATGGCTGCTCACTCTACCGAAGAACCGTTCCCCTTCCACGGCCTGCTCCCCAAAAAAGAAACCGGCGCAACGTCCTATCTCACCCGGTTCCCCGAGTACGATGGCCGAGGGGTGCTCATCGCCATCCTCGACACCGGCGTGGACCCCGGGGCCCCCGGCATGCAGGTGAACCTCTGACCGGCTGCCTCACGTTAGCTGCGAGCTAGTTGGTGTCCGCTAACAAAGCTAAAGGCCCCGAATGGTTCACTTCATTTGTACTCGGCAGCTGCTAGTTTAGTAGCACCAATGCATACACACAGCGTCTGCTTGGGACAGTTTGCTTTATAGCTTTTATGACAATTAATTCAACACCGTGTAGTTGATGGAAAACATTTTTTCTCCCGCTGTCAAATCGGGTTTCGGTGTGTTATACGTGCTAGCGTGTTAGCGTGAATTTGTCCTCTTCGGTTTTCTTTCCATCTCCTCAGTAATTACAGTATGTGCTGGCAGTACGGCTACAAACAGTTTGGCCCTTGTGAACTTTAATTTATATTAATATATTCAGCGGTTAGCAGCTATAGTATGTTAGTTAGTTCTCGGTTAGTGAGCTGTAACCAGCGAACCGACATGTTAAGTGCCAAGTCACACTGAACCTCTCAGTTAACATTAGTTAGATGCACAGTAACAGTAACTTAATGAGATATCTATACGGTTATGTGTTTGTAAAGAGGTGATTAACGTTACGGTAAATTGAGGTCAACCATTATTTTCCACCACTTTGACTCAGCTGTGATTAAAAGGGCACAGACTGAATCTGACCCCTGCAGTGTGTGTGTGTGTAAACAAGTGTGTGTAAAGAGGGAGATTGTTGTTGCATTGGAAGTTTGTTCCCTCCTCATGTTTGTAGATTACAACTTCAGATTAGGTTAGATTAGATAGATACTTTATTTATCCTGAGGGAAATTCAAGGTTCAGATTCAAAATGACGCTTTATGATTTATTTATTTTTTGGTTTGTGATGTCCACAGTCGTCTCTGGTCTGATCTCTGTTACCTTGCATTGTTTTCAGCCTGAATTTCTTAATTGATTATTTATTTATTGCTGTTTCTTCAGGTCACACCTGAGGGGAAGCCAAAGATCATCGACATCATCGATACAACAGGCAGCGGTGACGTGAACATGACCACAGTGGCAGAGCCTAAAGATGGGACAATCGCTGGCCTTTCTGGTAGAACGCTTAAGGTCAGTACACACCTTTTTTGACATAAAGACTGAAAAAATGTAAACGAATAACAGCTGTTACATGGGGAATATTCCATTACAGGTATTTTATTATGTGTAAGGATTTCTTTCATTGATCCAGTATGTACAAATCTGGCTTGACCAGAGCTTTAGAGCTGCACTTTGATGTATTTTCCTTCGTATTGGTCTCACACTGTGTCTTTTTATGTCTTTCAGATTCCTCCTGCCTGGGTCAATCCATCAGGGAAGTTTCGCATTGGAGTTAAAAATGGCTATGAGTTCTTCCCTAAGGCTCTCAAAGAAAGAATACAGGTAGGAAGACACGACATTATTACTGTCCTAGGTCTATCACAGGTTTGGTTTTGCAGCTGCCCCAAACACAAGCTTAGATGTGGTTAGGTCCTTTGGTGTGGTTGTATGTCCCATCCATGTTGGTAGCCTCTCTACTTGGTATGAATTTATTCCAAAAACAAGAACTTATATTGTCAGAATCCTGTAGATAAAATGAAGGAAAATATATTTGCTTGCCATCTTCTGTGGAAGTTCTCACAGTACTTTTTTTTGTTATGGCACTTTTGTCTACTAGAAAGAGCGTAAGGAGAAGATGTGGGACCCACCACACAGATCAGCGCTTGCTGAGGTCTCTCGCAAGACGGAAGAGTTTGACCTCTCTCACCCAACACCCTCACAGGTCAGAACTACAAACGTGGATTTCTTTGTGTGCATGCAGTTGCTAGTCGCAGTAATGTAGTGTTTCCTAACTTGATTTCTCTGTACTTCTGTCTCTCTCTCATGTATCCTTCACCCTGCTTCCTCTCATCAGATGGAGAAGTTGCAGAAAGAAGAGCTGCAGAGTCAATCAGAGCTGCTGGCATCACTAGAAAAGAAGTACAGCGATCCCGGTCCTGTATATGACTGTGTGCTTTGGCACGACGGAGTCACATGGAGGTATGCCAAACTATTATCCTCTTTATATCTTATCTATTAATCTATCTGTCTATATATTTATACATATTACATTGTTTTAATGTTTCCTATTCACTGTCTACCACTTTATTTATCCCTCACATTGTCTGTTACTGTTTGTTCTCTTTAGGGCTGTAGTTGACACTTCAGAGTGTGGAGAGCTGTCCCAGTGCACTGTGCTGTGCTCGTACAGAGAGACGCAAGAGTATGCCACGTTAGGAATTGCTGAGATGCTTAACTACTCTGTCAATATTTATGATGAGGGAAACACACTCTGCATCGTCACCAGTGGAGGTAAAATGTCTGAAAGCATGTAATCCATCTCCTTCCTTCATATACTTCAGTCACTTAACACAAAAAGATGTTCAGCGTAACAGTGAATTATGGCAGCTCTGCGAGTTAAGGCTGCATAATGTGTAGAAGTCCACAGTGTATTCTTTTGTGTAACTTGCTGTGTACCTTTTTTTAAAAATTTATTTTAAAGGGGCTCATGGGACACATGTGGCAAGCATTGCAGCAGGTTACTTCCCAGAGGAACCTGAGCGCAACGGTGTGGCCCCCGGTGCCCAAATCCTCGCTCTAAAGATTGGAGACACCCGACTTAGCACCATGGAAACTGGCACAGGACTCATCCGTGCGGTAGGCCTTGTTGAATATAAATTAGCAGTTTGCCTACTTTTTTTTTTGTCACCCTTTTTAATTTTTCATCTCTCCTGTCACTCCTAGATGATTGAAGTCATCAACTACAAGTGTGACCTGGTTAACTATAGCTACGGGGAAGCAACCCACTGGCCCAATTCGGGGTAAGTATTGCACCGCGGGGGTGTGGTTGTGTGGGTGCCACTTATTTTGAGTGGTACACCTTCACTGATTTTTGTCAATTTGTCTTCCAGGAGGATTTGTGAGGTGATCACAGAGGCAGTGCAGAAGCATAACGTGATGTTTGTTTCGAGTGCGGGGAACAATGGCCCGTGTCTCTCCACGGTCGGCTGCCCTGGGGGAACCACCGGCAGTGTCATAGGTACAAACACCGATTTTTAAAATCTTTGGGCTCTACATCTTCAAATGCATGTATGCAGCCATGATTACACTGGAGATTCACAGCAGGAAAGATAGAAACACAGCATTTGATGTTAAAGTATGTATGTTTAATCATGGACACTTAAATGGCAATGATGGTAAAACTTTTATGTTGTGAAGCCCTAGTTCTCTTTACATGTTGCTTTAATTCCTGCTCTCTTCTGTTCCTCCCCAGGAGTTGGAGCATATGTGACTCCAGACATGATGGTGGCAGAGTATTCCCTGAGGGAGAAACTGCCTCCCAACCAGTACACCTGGTCGTCCAGGGGCCCCAGTACAGACGGGGCCCTGGGGGTCAGCATCAGTGCCCCTGGCGGCGCCATTGCATCTGTACCCAACTGGACTCTCCGTGGTACCCAGCTGATGAACGGCACATCCATGTCGTCTCCTAATGCCTGTGGAGGCATCGCACTAATCCTCTCAGGTGCGTTCAGACTCATGGACTCATACTGGATCTGGAGATATGTTGCGTTTATGGAAGCGTTTGCGAATGCAAATCTGATGCTAGTATGTGATTTTAAAAAAAATTTTTTTTATGTGATTAAAGGACTGAAGCAGAACGGCATTGTTCCCTCTGTTCCTGCGGTCAGGAGAGCGCTAGAAAACACAGCTCTGAAGGTTGACGACATTGAGGTGTTTGCACAGGGACATGGAATTATCCAGGTAACTTGACTATAGCTGCCATAGGGCATACAGTTCCTTTTCTGTCTCTTCTCTTGGCATCTTCTTCTCTTGTAATTGATTTCTTTATTTGCATTTTTTGTGTGCCATCCAGTAACATACTCCCTTTCTTCCTCTCAGGTGGACAAGGCATTAGACTACCTCACTCAACACGCCTCTTTACCCACAAGCCACCTAGGCTTCTCAGTAAGTGTGGGAACACAAAGAGGTATCTACCTCAGGGACCCAGCCCAAATTCTTGCACCCTCAGATCATGGAGTCGGGATTGAACCCATCTTCCCAGAGAACACAGGTACTTTTCATATTGCATACTTTTCACTGCAGCCATGTTTTGTTTGCTTTTACAATATTTTATTTTAGCGTGTGTTTTTTACGCAATCTGTGTTCTTCTAACATCTGTCACAGAGAACTCTGAGCGAATCTCCTTGCAGCTACACTTGGCACTCACATGTGCTGCCCCATGGGTCCAGTGCCCCTCCCATCTAGAGCTGATGAACCAGTGTCGCCATGTCAACGTCCGCATCGATCCTGTGGGACTGAGAGAGGGAGTGCACTACACGGAGGTAGGGACAGGAAAGGGAAACAAGAACAGGTAGACATTGTTTCTGAGTCTGTTGATGTTAATTTGATCACTTTGAACGTGTGCTTTTCTTTTTCTTTTAAGGTATGTGGGTATGATACAGCAGCACCTACCTGTGGCCCCCTGTTCAGAGTTCCAATCACAGTTATTATCCCCGCCAAGTAAGTTCTTACATCATGTTGGCATTTTTTTTTCTGTCATTCTTCTAGAAAGAGATTTGTGTGTCTGACCACTCTCTGTCTCTCTCTTGTTTTTTTACTGACAGAGTGACTGATAGTCGTAATCAGGAGATGTCTTTCACAGACGTCCACTTCAGACCAGGCCAGATCAGACGCCACTTCATCGCTGTTCCTCAGGGAGCCTCCTGGGCAGGTCAGTGTGTGTGTGTGTGTGTGTGTGTGTGTGATGGAGGGTGTTTCTGTGCGAGTGATATTGACAAACAGTCACTAATGGTACCGTTCCAATTTTTGTGAGATCAAATAAAATGGAAGTGTAGCATTTTTGATAACCTGAACATTTAGTAGACTTTAGTAGAGTATATTGCCTTAGATTTCCAGTTGGGCCTCACTTATTTGTGTGGGTTCTCAGCATTGCTCAACACAAATGCTTACAATTTGTTCAGGACCATTTTTGCACTACCTTTTTGTTGGAAACCTTATTTTCTGTGTTTAAAAAAAAAAAGAAAAAAAAAAAAGTATAAGCCACCTCACCCAGTGTCAGTGTAGATTGTTCCTCCCACAGTCCTCCTGCCCTGCTGATCTTGACTGTTGCTGTTAAATTGATTTTATTGTTGAATGTGGCAAAACAAGTATAATATAGCCTGGGGAAAACATTTTTTAATCCATCAGCATTATCAAATAACCCACAAGTCAGTAGGGAGAGTTTTAACTTGAAATTGCTTTCATGTTTTAGTAGTTAGTTACACCTCTTGGTTTTTCACCATCCTCTACATTCTCTCTTCTCCTTTTTCTTACATCTTCCCTGCTTCTGTCCTGCAGAGATCACACTGACCTCTCATTCGGGTGATGTGTCGTCAAAGTTTGTTCTCCATGCGGTTCACTTGGTCAAGCAGAAAGCGTACAGAGCTAATGAATTCTACAAGTTCTCTTCGCTGTTGGAACGAGGCTCATTAACTGAGGCTTTCCCTGTGCTGGTACGTATTTTTGCCAGAGATCGTTCTTTAGTGCCCGGAATGGAAGTCGCCTCATTTCGTCGATGCATGATTAAAATTACATGGTGGATTTATTTCTGCGTTTTGTTTTGTCTCCTCTCCAGTCAGGTAGGGTAGTAGAGTTGTGCATTGCACGCTGGTGGGCGAGCCTGGGTGACGTCACTGTGGACTACAGCATCTCGTTCCATGGACTCAGCACTTCCCCTTCACCCCTGCACATAGTAAGAGGAGTACAGATGCGCAGATTCGAAACACTGACAAGTAAACTACAGCCCAGACAGTATCAGTTCTCTGTTGGTAACCCTCATTTTTCTCTGCCAGCATGCCTCGGAGGGAGTGACGAGCTTTGATGTTTCGTCGCCTCTGAGGTACGAGGAGGTGTCCCCCACTATCACCCTCAAGTCTTGGGTTCAGCCTCTCAGGTAAATGCAGGCTCACAAATGTAAATTTTGTTGTTCCACATCAGTGCCACTTCATTGTTTAACCCTTGTTGTTGTTGTTGTTATAGGCCCTTAAGTTCAAAGATAAAAGCCCTGGGAATGAGGGACGTTCTGCCTAACAACAGACAACTCTATGAGATTGTCCTCACCTACAGCTTTCACCAGGTACTGTCAGCACGAAGGGCACTTTATATGAGAGGAAAATGCAGATTTAAAAAAAAGACTTTTATATGATTGTATAATCTTCTTTTGCCCTGTCCTCAGCCTAAGAGTGGGGAGGTTACCCCCAGCTGTCCATTGCTGTGTGAGCTGCTGTATGAGTCAGAGTTTGACAGTCAGCTCTGGATGCTGTTTGATCAGAACAAGAGATTACTGGGCTCCGGGGACGCCTACCCACACCAGGTACACCGAGCCACATTTCCCCAACACATTTTACTTTCCCGGATGCTCACTCACATCTGTAGTTGGTACATTTTCAGGCGGTAGTATTAAGAAGGAAAGTTCTTGTTGTGCATCAGCTAACACATCTCCCCTCTGTGTGTTTTACTTCTCCAGTATTCTCTGAAGCTGGAAAAGGGGGACTACACTGTGCGTCTGCAGGTCCGCCACGAGCAGTCCAGCGAGCTGGAGCGCCTTAAGGACCTGCCGTTTGTGGTTTCTCACCGTCTGTCCACCACACTCAGTCTAGATGTCTTTGAGACACACCGTGCTGCCCTCATGGCCAAGAAGAAGGCAAACTCTGTTACCTTGTGCCCGGGTGCCACACAGCCATTCTATGTCACGGCTCTGCCTGACGACAAGTGAGTCAAGTTTGGCGAGGGACTTTTCTCTTGTATGGTACAATCTTATAGAATGATTTATCATGCACAAAACAAAAAAGCCATACTTTGTTAAGGACCAGTGTTCATGTACTAAGCAGGGTACCTTAATTTCTTTAATCAGGATAATACTACATATTTCTGGAAATGTATGTTTGGTTAGCAAAAACCTTCCTTGAATAAGTATTTAAATATTTGGTTTATTGTGATGAGATTTGGTTTAATGTTCCTGACTTTTTCCCTCTATTACTATATTTCTCCCTTTTGTTTCTCCCTTTTTCCAGGATCCCAAAGGGAACGAGTCCAGGATGCTATCTCTCTGGCTCCCTGGTTGTCCCCAAGAGCGAGTATGGCAAGAAAGCAGTGAGTGCCTTTTGTTGTTACCCCCTATCTTCCAGAGCAGTAGTCAATCCTGCTCCTCAGGATCTTGGTAGTTTTCAGTCTCCTCTTCTTATCTGGGACGTTTACACATTGTTGTGTGAACACATAAACTACACTGCAGAATACATCTGGTTGGTTACCATGGCCAGTGTCCCATGAAAATGTGAAATTCACTTCACATGCTGGAAACAAGTTGTGGTCCTGAGGATCAGAGGGGGAGACCAGTGCTCCATTGCTGTTGCTTCTCTGTATTCTATTTTCTGTATAGTTAATTTCTCATCATCACCTTTAGACCTGAGCCGAGCCTGGTCTGTTGCTTCTGACAATGATTGCTGTCCTTCTGGTTCCTGCATGCCATCTTCTTTCACCTTTTCTCACTCATTTGCCTTTGCCCATGCTTCTGCTATCATTCCAAAAACACAATTGCTCATGCCATCAACTCTGTCAGATCTTGACACACTGGCTCATCAGTATGCTAATATTTGTGGTTGCTTACATGATGAGCAACCACTGGAGTCCAGGCGTTATTTACATCGTCGGCCTTCAGGGAAAATATTAGCTGGAAGTGATGAAGGAAACCAAAAAGAAAATCTGTGAATAACTTTGCCTCAGGTATGTACGGTGTTCACAAAGGCTGGTTACTAACTTTATTTTACATTAGTGCAAATACGATGCCTGGGTTTTGGAATTAGGAATCTGAACCACAAGGCTGGATGTTTACATGTGTCTTCAGAGAGAAGTAAATCTTCACGTAATTAGCACAGCTAGTATGAAACCACTCAGAGGTGTGTGTGTCTGTGTGTGCAGAAAAACACAGAAATCAACTTGAATGAAATATTGATTTAAAAGGGGGAAAAAAAGGTAACTACATTCTACAATCTGATGGCAAATGTTTTCTTTCTGAAGCTTATTCTCACTCTATGGCCTGCAGGTGCTCTTCTTTACATCGCTGCCAAGGGCTGTCTTATATCACACGATATGTCTGAATCCTTTTTACAGCTTTCACGCATCTGTGGCTGAACTTGCTTGGCTCAGTGGTCCCAATGCAAAGATCTTCTTGTGAAATGTCAGCACCCATTTACAAATCACTATATTTATCACTTTTTTTCATATTGTTCATCATTGCATTGCTGCAGATCTTTGTATCATTTGAGTGTCATACACACAAGAATTTTACTATATCAAATCAAAGCTTCACTGTGAATCCACTTGTTAGATTTTACTGTAGTTTCCAATACTGAGAGAGAAGATGCAATGCTTAACCCACAGATTTGTTAGGACGTGAACACAAGGTAGATTTTTACCACTGTACCAATTATTAAAGTGTGACAGGTAGGTGGACTAGACTCTGAGTCTCTGAGTGAGGATAAAAAAAATAAAATGAAGAAAGAGAGAATCCTTTTTGGTGTGTTTGTGTTGTCTCTTCCTTACTGTGTGTTATTCTGACCACCAGGGGCAGGCCTCTGCAAAACGACAAGGAAAGTTTAAAAAGGTACTGAATGAGCTAGAAACACTGTACAACAGAGCGTCCACTGCTCTCATACCATCAGGAAATGGCTTATTCCTTACCTAAAGATGGGATCTGTTATATCTTCAATAATTATGTCCAAGCATGTCAATACTGCTGTACTGAAATATGCAACATGTAGATATTTACTTTGATGTAGAGTTTTCTGGTGGTCAGTAAAATTATTAATATCTTCAATATCAATCAATTGGTAATGAGCACAAATTTAAACTTGTATTGGGTATTAAAAGGCATTTTTTTAAAGTGACTTAAAGAGAGATAACCAGAAGGAGTTTGGTCACAGGACATGACATTGGTAGGAAGAGGGTGAGAATGTGGGATGCTGATTCAGAGTAGTAAAACCTTTTTTTTGTGTGTGTGTTCATACAGGATGTTGTTCCAGTCATCTACCACCTAATTCCTGCTCCCAACAAAACAAAGAACGGAGGGAAGGAGAAGGACAAGGAAGGAGACAAAGAGAAAGACGTGAAGGAGGAGTTTGCAGAAGCTATGAGAGACTTAAAGATTCAGTGGATGACAAAGTGCGCACAGTAGCTCATCCTCAACACATTGCTTGTTTTGCCTCTTATTGTTTTCATTCTCTCTCAACCATCCATCGTGTTCTCTATGCTGTTCAGGTTGGACTCCAGCTCCATTTATGATGAACTGAGGGAAAACTACTCGGATTACCTTCCCCTGCACGTGCAAAGACTGCACCAGCTGGACTCTGAAAAGGTAATGCTACGCACCAGAAAGAGAAAAGGGAAATAGATGAAGCTTCAATCCCTGGATCATCATCAACATCTAAACTATGCCATGGTCTCTGCTTCCAGTCATTTATCCATCTGGTGTTTTTTGTGTTTAGGAGCGTGTAAAACGTCTCAGAGAGGTGTTATCAGCGGCTGACATTGTCATCTCCAGCATCGACCAGACGGCTTTGGCTGTTTACCTCACCATGAAGACAGACCCTCGGCCTGATGCTGCTTCCATCAAGACGTATGTTATTCTAGAGGATAGTGCTAATAGAAATATGAACTTCACTAGAATCCTTCAATAGCAGAAGAAAAAGTTGGTTAACCACAAAACCTAATAAACTTGTAGTATCTGGACTAGGAAATTCTTTAGCTGAGGCGTTAAGCCACCCACATCCTGTGGCATTACTGAGTTAGTTTTGCTGACTCCTCTCTACTTTTGCTACTGTTACACTACATTTTAGCATTTACCACTATCCAGTAATAGTGCTTGTGGCCTCTGTTTGACCTGTGTTAACTTGTGTTTCAGTGACATGGAGAAGCAGAAGTCGTCTCTGCTGGACGCTCTGTGTAGGAAGGGCTGCGCTCTGGCGGACCAGCTCCTGCTGCCCCCTGCGCCGCAGGACGGCGCCATTGCTGTCACCACGGGACAAACGGCAGCAGAGGAGGTTGTGGAACAGGTGGCCAGCAGTTCTGACGACACCCTGCAGAACGTGGCTAAAGCCCTGATGGATACATTTTGGGAGGTTCAGAAGTGGGCGGAGCTAACTGACTCCAAGGTGAGCAAAGTGTTTTTTGAAAATGAAGGCCAAACTTTCTTCATTGTAATTAAGGATAATTAGGTTTGTTAAGTGTTCTGATATGAATATATCTGCAATGTGAGATTAAAGGTTTACGTTGGCAATATTCTATGTGTTTGTTATTGTCAAGAAGTCCCATGAAAAGACCAAAACAATGTGTTTGTCCATCTTTCAATCTGACTCCCCTGTCCTGTCAGTGGCACTCATAATAATGGAAACCAACATTGTGGCTCATTGATGTGTTTTTGATCAACAATAGAGGTCTGTGATGCAGAGGAATGAGATGCATCAGGAATCAGCTACTCAAACTACACGTTATTAGGATTAATTCATTGTTGGTTTAGGTTTTACGGGATTTGTTGACAATTACAAAATAAAAAATATTAGTTATTTACTACTCATGTATGTTGTTGTTCTCGTCCCCTTACCTGTGGACATTGCATAATCTATCATAAGGACCACTCTTTCTGAAGATCATAACTAAAACAATGTGCTTTCCTCTGCTTTCTCTGATTTTGTTGTGTACTCATTCAGTAAATGCTGAGCTAATATATTTTCTGTCTTCTGTCTTTGCCACTGCTCAGGTGTTGATGTTTTCATACAAACACGCTCTTGTGAACAAGATGTATGGCCGAGCCTTAAAATACGCCTCAAAGATGTTGGAGGAGAAGCCCAGCAAAGAGAACATGAGGAACTGCATCCAGGTATGAGACGGCTGATCGCTGTTTAACATAATAAAATACTGGCTAGATATTTTTTTATTTTTTTTTATTTTTATTTTTTTACTTTTTAGTCCAAAACCTGAGTAGAATCATCTGAAGAATGCATTTGTGAACAAGTATTACTTTGTTTCATTTTGAATCACTTCGTTCTTTTTTGTTTTCCAGCTCATGCGCCACCTTCGATGGACACACTGCGCCACCTTCAGCGAGAACTGGCTCCCTGTCATGTACCCCGCAGACTACACGCCATTCTAAGAGCACACACACACACAAGCACACACACAAGCACACACACCCGCATGAGCAGCATGGCCACACACGGTCCATTACATGGTTACTTCGATATCATGTCCCTCAGGGTCCCATGGTCTATGCATCTGGTTTTTCAAAATACAAACACCAAAATGAAGGACAACGCTGAGTGTAAATGGTGTGGTGTCTTTGACACCTTTAAGGCAAATCCTGTCTTTAAATGTGTTGTTGAACATCACATTTATGCTCAAAATCTTGCCACGGCGTGTTGATACTGTAGCTCAATGCTTTCTTTGCTGGGCGTTGTCCTCTATTTTGGTGTCATCTTTGAAGGCTTTCACATGCACCCATTCTCAGCTGTCCGGACTCCATATCATACAAAAAAAACAAACTGTCTTGTGTAAATACTGTAAAAGGGCCAGTGTGGACTTTAAAGACTTTAAGTCTTTAAAAAAAAAAAAAAAAAACCTGTTCCCCCATCTACTCACTTTCAAAAAATCGACAGCAGGAGAAAAACTGGCCATTATGATACTTCAGTGAGAAGACAGGAGGACTTGCTGCTGCACAATGTTTGGATATATGAGGGCACGCAGACTCTGCCTGATCCCTGAATTGAAAGGGAGGCTTGGACAGAACTTACTATCTTTTTTTTTTTTCTTTGTGTTTTGGTTGTTCCAGCCAGGCCGGGTTGATAAAGTTAACATTTAGTCTTGTCTGTCTTTTTAGGCTCTGACTCGTGTGTACACAGTCTCAAAACACAAAACAGTGTTGAGGTGCCTTTCTACATGTACCTTACCTTCTTCTGATGGGATTATAGACCGTAAGCGGGTTTTGACCACCGGAAGTTGCAGAATCAGTAGCTTCAGTCAGCGCTCAGCCGCTTGCAGTCATTTCACCCATCAGCCTTTTGGTGTCAAATGTGGATTTATAGCTCGTATCGGTAGTATGATGCATCTGTTCGCTGTATGCAGGCTGTCAGTGACTTGTCAGGTAATAGGAAGCCACAAACACACTTTCTCGGCTTCTGCTTACGTCCAGAGGTGTTTGCCCACCCACTTCATACTACTGTTTACCTGAGCGGCACATTTGACGACCATCTAACAGACCTCACTAACATAACAGATGCAGTTGTGGGCAGCGTTAGGATGTTCAGATCAGATTTCATTGTAAAATGGTTACACAGTGTTAGACATTTTTCTGCAGCATTCAGAATGTTGCATTTGTACACAGTGTCATAAAATAATGTACATACACATAACGTAACAAATATTAAGATGCAATAGGTATATAATACAAATATTATTCTAATTGATGTATTTTGCATATATGCATGTCTTCTAGGATGTAAGAAAAAAAAAAAGTTTTATTTGGAAGCAGATTTTAGTTTGTTTCAATTTGAAAGATTTTTAATCCCAAACAAGATTCTGACGATATCCACTGTTGTTATTTTCATGAGTGTGTGTCTGTGAATGACTTTACGTGTAATTGTGAGCATATTTGTGTACATGCACATTTCTTCACAACAGAACTGAAATAATAGCCATTTAAAGTGGGTTAAGCATGAGTTGTTTTTTCCTTCACTTACCTTTACTGAAGGAAGGACCGTGCCCTTTTTTTTGTTTGTTTGTTTTTTGTTTCATCGGATTTACTACAAATCGTATATAGTTCATATCACAGCTAACCATTTACATATTATTTTGCATATTGTTATTTTAAGCAAGGTAAGGTTGAGTTGTATAAATCCAGACTGAACACCAGGTCTGCATTAAAGGCCCGCAGCACCACATTTCTCAATCATCTTTTTACTGAGTGATTGTGTCTGACACTAACACTCATTTGTCATTATTTCACATGACAGGTTTGTTTGTGCTGTTTTGTCTGTGCTTTCCTCACTGGTATTATGTGGTACAGGCATATAGCGAACCAATCAGGAATCAGCAATATTTCATTCAAAACATGGTCGCAGCTTTGGTGTTATATGTTGTATGTATGTTGCCCCTGTCGATTAAATCTGATCAAATCACACCTACGCAGTCTTGATGAAGCAGATTAGCTGCATTTTTAAACGTTACTCTTTTAAAAAAAAAAGTAACCATGTTTTTGTTTTTTTACAAACTTCTAAAGACTCAAAACCACGTTAGTCATTGCAATGCGTTGCTAAAAATGAATGCAGACTTGATGTTCACTCTGATGGATTATAAAACTTGAAAGAGTACTTCACCGATTTAGCTTTGGACTCCTGTTGAACTCACGATGGATCATTGTCAAAACGTGTCACCTAAATTACCCACAATGCAACTCGACCACTGACAGTTCAGTCTGAGATTTGGGTGTATTACGCTAGTAGCAGCTACAGAGGTCTCACTTCTGTCTTACTCCCCCAGGTTTTTAAATGTTATCTTTATTCAGCCCCAACCAACACTGACTCAAGTGACATCACTTGTCTCAAGTGACGTCACTTGAGTCAATTTATCAGATTTTGGGCAGCTCCCTCTGGAGCCACAAAATGTTATAACTTTTTCACATATGCAGTAGTA